ATTTCGTGGCTCCAGCGAGATGCGAGACTTGGTAAACCCGTGCAGAATTTACTCATGGGTTTTGGTCATATCCTTCTATGCTACAGCGGCATACAATGCAGATAGCTCGCCAGATATTGCCAGTGACATACTCATTCCATGTACTGATTATCAGCTAACCCGTCCAATCCTTCATGAACCAGGTTAGCAGTCAGTCTTTACCAATTGATTTGACCCCTTCTACCCTCTAGGCGTTTTACGCGATCGTCTAATCACATAATCGTCTGCGTAGTCAACTCTGAACAATACCTAAGGCAGCGTTCAGAGTTGGCGATCGTTCATGCAGTTGGGCGATTAGGCGACGGAGGTGAGCGGATCAGACAGATCGATACGTATACTTCTCTTATCGCCTACTCGCCTACTCGCCTGATCGCCTACTCGTCTAATCGCCTAATCGATACCCATACTATCTTTTGAATCTTCGCCTAATCGCATGTACGACCGCTAACCCTCAATGCTGCCTGAAAATCAATCGATATGAACCCAATCATTTTTTGTGAGCACATATTCTGAGTCGGTTGTCCGTATGTTAGTTTACCACCATTGCTGGAGCTCTGCCCAATTAATCCCTATCACTAATCATCTTTCCTGCTCCCACCAATCAATATCAATGGTTAATTCATAGCTATGAACACCTACACCCAAAAGCCTCCTCATTCGGTCTGATCGATAACTATCGTTCCCTTTCAAAGTCCTTCTGCCAGTGTCCGCATTACCTTAGTGGCTCAATCAATTCCCATCGTTGTCATGCGTCTAGCTCTATACTCCCTAGCTATACCGCGACATATCCCCGACAATGTGAAATGTGTTTTGTGAACTCACTTGAGCTTGCCCACGAAGATTGTGGAACGCCACAAATTCTGGAATCGTTTCGCCGAGCACTTCGTTTTGAAGGCCTAGATTGGCCTCTCTTGACTGTGAAACTGTGGTGGTCTGATCTCTGGATAGGTTGGTTCTCTGGATTTGGAAAAGGTCCGATCTCTGGATCCATAGTCTTTCGAGTCAAGGTCTTTGGATCCCAACATTGTCTTGGAGTTTAGGGCACAATTCTGAAACACATCTCGCTATCGCTGAAAAATTGTGAGCGTTCATGTCGTTGGAGGGGGACATTCTGAGCCATTTACTAAGCTTGGGGCTAAGCCTTATGGAGTGGAAGGGGCTCTGAAAGAGAATGTGAGCACCTCTCCCTGGCGTTTCTCCCCTCTCCAGAGCTAGGTCTTAGTGTCACACTGTCACATCATCCCTGTTTTGTCCTCCCCCATGGACACGAACGCCAAATTGTGCTTCAGAGAATACAGAACTCACTTAGAGTCAACTGAGACCGTTTGCTAGGGTGTGGTATGTTCAGAGTGGTACCTACCGCTCTTGCAAAATAGACCATGTTCATTATCACCGCTATACAAAATGACAGCGCTGAAGGGAGGGGGAGGGGAAGAATTTGAGAAAGTAATGGCACCCATTAGAAAGGCGCAGGTCCCACTGATGGTGTGCGATGACGTAGAGAGAAGTTTTACGACAAAATGTTAATGAACTGTTTCCCGTCAAAAGGCTTCGAAGGCATTTTGCATTGCCCGGTGGTGATCGGAATATGAGGTCCTTTACAATCGCGGAGAATCTCAAAGAGGTAGCGTAATTGCTCCAACTTGGAACAACGAGTAATTGCCTCGGCCGAATCACTGGTGTACAACTTCCCAGTGAGAGTGGCTCTGGTTTCTAAGATTTCTAACTCAGTTATTAAAGGCAGGTGGCTTAAATTGGGTGTTGGATATAGTGGATGTGCCTACTGTGAAAGAAGGGCCCTTCAACGTAGAGTGGCGGTTTCGTGGCGAAGGTGGCGCCCGTAGTAGCTTAGCAAGGTTTGGCCCGTTCCTCTAACGCCTTCGTGCCTCTGATCGCTCACAGATTGGCTACCCCTGCCGTTGATCACTCGCTGTCTAGTTCAGGTGTTTTGGCACAGAGGTCAGAACAGAGCGTGCACGGTGAGACACACCAACGATGAGATTCGTCTAGCGCGGAAATTAAGAGATTCAAGGGTTCTGTTTTGTGAGTTTTAGGCCATCTCCTTCAGTTTTTCCACAGCTCGATTCCCAACACTGCCCCTTCGATGAATCGGCTGTCCGTTGAGAATGTTGGCCGATGTCAGACTTTGCGAATCGAGCGATTCGCTAGCGTCCGCGGTCGCGTCGCGGCCAGTGAATCACTCAATTGGCTGGTACCGCAACGCGACCGCGGACGCTAGCGAATCGCGCGATTCGCAAAGTCTGACATCGGCCTAGCAGAGCTGTTAAGACGGGTAGCAGTGAAGAAAAGTTAAGGAAGACAGCCTAAAGCTACAAAACAAAACCTTTGTATTTCCTGATAGGCGTTCTATCCTCGCTCCTAACCGAAAGCTCAAGTGCATTTTACAGTTATGGAGAGATTAAAAGGATCGAACTTGCGTGGGTGTGAGTTCGGCGCTTTGTAGCCATCTTGCTACTTTCGCAGTTTAGTAATTGAAGATTTTCAAATTTTTTGTTTTATCGTGGTACCACATCATCAGCTTTCAGAAGATGGAAGGGCCTGAGGAGTTGAACTGCAGACTGTGCACGCATGAGTGTTGGCCCCGTAACCATTGTGCTGTCTCCGCATCTGAGCAGTCGCAGGTGAGCTTTTTGGCTAATTCAAGTTTTGAAATCTATCGCGGATAAAAAGCTTAATATATACAGGGCGACCGAAGAAAGAGACCCTTGTTCATGATGGACATCAGTAAGCTTTACTCGGCTCAGGATGCTGTAGTTCATGGATGTCTCCAGGCCAAATATTTTTGAGGTTCTCCCCCCCCCCGCAATATTAGAACCAGGCCTCCCTTCTCTGCCCATCACTGTCCTCAGGATATGATGTCATCTGCCATCGACGTCAAGCTCAGAGGCTTACCTCCAGCCTGAGCTGCTCATAATTTCCCCAAACAGATGTGGAGCTTCCTACAGGCATTAGCTGTGATTATGCAAGGCCCAGCGGACCAGTATTCCAGACAAAATAGCCTATGACCCGTCAAGGGACTCGCTGAGTTCAAGCCATGTATCATGTTCCTGAAGGAGATTCTTCTGATGTCGCCCGTGTAGAATGAAGGCTATTATAAAGTTGTACAACAATATGGAATGTGTCTTTCAATTATCTGACGAAATAATCTGGTTTGAATGTAGCGAAGTATTATTGAATCGTTTTTGATAGTGGAGGGCAGTGTTTCTGTTGTTTTTTTGGTAGCTCCTGTGCATAGTTTTATTTCTGCCGCCGGGCATGGCGTCATGGCGGACTCAGCAACAGCAGCAAGGGGCATCAGCTAGCATCATAGCGTTGAACGAATGTGGTAACGATTTTTTCGAGGCCATTGTCACATATACTGCTGGCTCTGTGATTACGATATGCCTGGCCTCGAAGAACGTAGTATACCTGTCGTGATCACCACATCAGCACTGAGAGTCGTTCCAATGAGGCATGTGTTTTCGTCTGGGCAAATGACACACGGGAGGCTGTCGACCCTCTGCAGATTACACAATGTACCACGGCTTCCGTGTGTCTAATTAATGCGTTTCTTTATCGCTTGGATCCGAATACCTTGGCGATAGCCGCCATCACTGCCTAACGCTGCTAGTGCAATACTTCAGAAAGTATTCTGAATGGCCGCTCTCGCGCCGCTGATTGAGCTACTGATATTCGTGCCTTTTGAACGTGCATGTGCATTTCCTTCAATTTTATTCATGTTTCGTTTTAAGTTAAATTACTGTGTAGTAATAGAACAGTTTAGAAGGTCCCTAACAATGGCAAATATTCATAGTTTGATTTTGAAAGTGGAAATTATTTTGTTGATCGAAGTATTTAGAATCCTAGGGGTATTCCAGCAATGTAGATGAAAGTTGGAATCAAGTTTTCGGTCTTGATCATTCATTTTGAAGATGCGCAGCACTCTATTGCCATTACAGATTCTCCCCGTTCTAGATTTATTGACTAGTTACTTGCACTGAGCAATGATAGCGAAATCAATTAAGGCTCTCTGTTGCTTATGTTGAGCTTACATTGACTTCCTACTTCGATAGAAGTATCAATTTTTAGCTAAAGTTCTAGTTATCTTCACTTCTATAATAATCAATTCTGACACAATTTCGTTATCGATAAGACTTTTACTTTTTTAAGCTCAATTATGGTGTTGTACCCATTGTCAGAATATGGAATAACAGTTTGAAAAATCGGAATTTTCCAAAAAGCTTAGAAGGGCTTAAAATCTCAGAGCTTCCAAAACTCCCTGCCAACATCTCGGCTCTCAGGCCTTTCGTCAGGACTGGAATACCTTTCACTACAATGAGATAGCATCTGAAGTTTGAACGAACACCTACCTTTTAACACGGTAATTTATCATTTATAATTACTGGTACATCGTATTATCATTGATTTATTTTATGAATCATTATTATTTAGTACATTTAACTGAACCATTTTTGATCTTCAGTGGACTATTTATCTGTTTCATGAGCCTCAGCTTTTGGGCGGAAGTGGTGTAGTGGCAAGTGGCACGCTTACCACGCGAGCGGTGCGGGGATCAAATCCTAGGTCATGAGCCTCCCGGGTCAGGCAAGCCAAGCCTTCCATCCCTCCGGGGTCGGTTAATTGGTACCAGACTTGTCTGGGAGGATAAAAAACACTGACTTGTACATCGGCTGGCCCCCGCAAGTCATTGTATAGGCCACATCGCATTCAAATGCCACTGCGAATGTACAAATGGAAGTAGAATGCGTGCCGCATCCCAAAAAGGGATTGATCAACGGCAATGCTTTATCCTTTTTTATCATTTATTCAGCTTTCGCCTGTTCATTATCCGGTGAGAGTATTTATTGATCAGTTAAGATCGGATCAAGTAGTTTTGAGAAGGTCTTTTCAGATAGTGAAGGCACATCCGATCAAATAAGTGTATGTTACTGTAAAAAAAAAACTCGCACTGCGATTACGCTGATTGATTGGGGTGAGCTTCGTTAACCTCCCCTCTCCCTTCTTACTTACAAGGGAGGTCGTTCAGGGTGTGCCAAGCTTTTTTCAAAATGGTTTCTTGCATGACATGGGGCACATATGGGGACCCAGAAGCATGGTTCATTTTTCCTGAACGGCTCTCTGAATACCAAAAAAGGGTCCCTAGTTCGATTTCTCGTTATTACAAATTTTTGCATTTCTAGCCGACGTCTCGAAGTCTGCAGCATAAAAATTAGTACCATATTCATGATTAGGAACCGTCAGTAACCCTTACAAATAGACTTTGATTGAAAAACTGGTGAAAAAGGTGTGACTAGGGACCCCCTTTTCTGGTATTCAGAGGGCCGTTCAGGAAAAATTAACCATGGTTCTGTGGTTCCCGCATGTGCCTCTATATCATGCAAAAGACCGTTTTGAAAAAGCTTGGCACACCCTGAACGACCTCCGTTTGTTAGGAATTTCATTGCTTGGTTCCACCACTTTACCTCTTGGACTGTATTTTGCCATATCAAGACCAAGCCTTAAATGAGCTCGCAGGACCACAGTGCAAACTCTGCTCATACGACCAGTGCGCGATGTTGCATTTCGAGATTGCTTAGCAGTTTTGTTATCGTTACTGATAGAACAATCACCGCGAATATATTTGTTTTCGAATGCCATAACATACGCCTACCCTGCCTCGTTCGAAATTGCCTTTGATGTGAGGGTTGAGAAACCAGAGAATTTGGAAGAAATGGCATGAGTGTGTGGTGCTCTGCAAGGAGAATTATTTTGCTTCTGTAACTTCGTCCGCCCCCTCCCACCACTACATTATGGCTGACCGAATCTTATGGCACAGATTTGAAGGGGCTCTTCAATGGCATGTCAAAGCCTCGTAGGGTTATTTTATAGTGGAGCAGGTTCACGGCTCATGAATTTACCAATAAATTTTTACCAGTTTAGCAGAGAATTAATGGCGCACTGCGTTTTACATTATGGAGGTACATTAAAAGATCTGGGGAAAAAGTACTAGGATTATGAATCAAACCAGGAAATATATCTGAGTGCATTGCCAGTGCCATACTGCCGATAGAAGCAGTAAATAGCAGTGAAAAAGTGCAATTTTCGCCAGCTGAAGCTTCATTATACCATGTTTTAACCCTTTAGACTACTTTTTTAGAAACAAGTTATCGATGTGTTTTGTGTAGTAACAGTCGCTCCTAGCAACAACTAATCTTCTGTGGGGATTTGGCTGACGCGCGCTGGGTTTGAGCTGGGATTTGATCTAGAGACCATATGCGCGGCAGTGGCCCTCCTGTCGCCACACCATCTCCGCTCGAATGGGCGTTTTCCGAACAGTTACAAATGGAGACATTCAACAAATACACATTTTTCACATCTCATTCGTGGAACAAGGCAATGTCCGGTTGGGAACACACTTGAAAAGAATTGCAAGCCGCACTTTGTAGAAGTGCTGCTCCCCTGCCTACAGGCTGCGCCCACCGGCTGCTTCTCCTCTAACGAATTTTCGCTGGTTTTTATGCTCGAAAGCTGCGTCATCATAGGAGTGTTCTACTACCACTTCCGCATCAAACGAACTGACAAAACTCCGGAGGTTGGAATTTCCAACGCAGTCGTAAAACGCTGTCGTCCTCTAACTGGCTTGCGGCCGATAAAAACCTCCATCCGTCATCGGTTTGCTTATGTTTCACCTGTTTCACAATAATTGAGGGAAATATTAGAACCATTAACACAATACAAAGAGTGTGAGACTCGAAAACTACCTTCTCGGGAGCTGTGCACACTGCCCAGTAACCTGTGGAACGACTTGTTAACTTGTGGAACGATTTGCTTATCAACTTATCCAGCGTAACTCGCTGATACTTCTGATACTTCGCTGACAGAGTAAGAATCACCAAAAGTTTCTAGTTGTGCACAATTCCGCCATAAAGCGGGCCCTCCGATCTCAATAAGTGCCAAAACTGTGGTAGTGTCTTTGACTACGAAGTGGGACACATGTGTACCACCAGTAGTCAAAGATTAACTTACGCAGGATGACTCGCTTTAGCTTCTGACGACTAAGTGTCATAGTAGGAATTAGAAAGATTCTATATGTGCACAGTTCAGCCATCAAATGAGCCCTCCTGCCTCAATATTCCCTGGAACTGTGGTAGTGTCTTTGACTACAAAGTGGGACACATGTGTCCCAGTAGTCAATGGGTTAAGCGCGATTGATGTCTCATAAATCAAGCACGCTCCGGTCGATCGATCATGTAGCCGAAATTGATTATCTGATTGAAAAAATGATTGTTTTCTGTTCATTTACAACTGGTATTGATTAGTGCTTGGAATCGCTCAAGGGACATTTTAGCCTTCTCGCATGGCAGTTTCTTTGATACTCTAATTGGTTGCCGTTTAGAGCTTGTTTTGCGACAGAAATCGTGCTTGGTCTATTCGCCTAGCCCTGAGTAGGTTATGTGGCTTGTAGTGTGGCTATTACTAGCCATACCGCAACCAACGTGGACAGCACTGGACACAGCCGCAGTGATCGCCATTCAGAATGAGCTCAACAAGCATGCCACTGAGTTGGAAATGCTTCTGGAAGTCGGTGAATGTTTTTAGCCGAGTTTTTGAGAAGCAAAATCAATAACTATCTTAAGCATGTGAAAAACCTGAACGCCCGTGTCAGTGAGCTCGGACGCCCTGGTCCGCCAGGAATCAATGGATCGCCAGGATTTCCAGGAGTGAAGGGCGAGAAAGGCGAAAGAGGCATTGATGGTGAGGACCGTGTTATAAGACTTTTTTCAGTTCATTTTCTCTTTTTCTTAAATGCCAGG